ATCGCTTTGAGAATTATATTTTCGATCAAAGAGAGAGAGAGAGAGAGAGAGAGAGAGAGATAAAGAGAAAGAGAAAGGGAGAGAGAGATAGGGGAAAAATGATAAAAATTTATATTTGTATATATATATATATATATATATATATATATATATATATATTTATGAATTATTGTCACAAAATATTCTCTCGTCATAAAATTAATTGTTCATTCCTGTTTTCTTCTTTTTTTTCTTCCTTTTTCTTTTAATTACATTCGATATAATATGAAGCGCATATATGCCTATTATGCGTATCTATTATGAAGGTTATATTATATATATATATATATATATATATATATATATATATATGTAATAATTTATTTCAAGTTTTATTATGCCACGTAACAAATTTAAAAGTCAAGATGATATATCAAAATGAATTCTTTTGTAATCACGTGCTCGTATAGATATTTTTCCTTTTCTCTTTTTCTTTCTTAAAAAAAAAAAAAAAAAAAAAAAAAATATAAAAAAGATGAGGTTATATAAAATATTATATTAATATAATCCAATAAGAAAATAAGACGATTCTCGTGTTGTCATCAAGTTGTATAGAAAACGAGACAAAAGCAAAATAAACCAAAAAAAAGAAAAAAGAAAAAAAAAGGAAAAAAGACGAAATAATTGGATTACGAAGAGGATCAATGTGATATATACCTGATAGAAAAGAAAAAAAAGGAAAAAGGGAAGAAGAAGAAAGAAAAATGATTACGATGCCCAATTTATCTAATCCACAAAAAAAAAGAAAAAAAAAAGGATAAAAAAGTAATAAAAGAAATGAAAAGAAACGGAAATAAGAAAAATAAATAAAGAATAAAAGAAAAATAAAGAGAAAAAACACAAATGAAACATATAAGCCTTTCTGTCGCATGACACAAATACCACACTCGTCGTGTTTTATCACGCGAGTATTGAACGAAGGGGAGGGTGAAAAATTAATGAAAAGAAACAAGAGAAAAGAAATAAAGAAATGAAAGATATAAAAGATATAAAAGAAAGAACTAAAAAATAAGAAAGGAAGAAAAACATACTTGATGAACGACGAGAAAAATTAAATGGATACGTAACATATACGAAATGCTTATATAAATAACATATATATCTACCACAATGTGAAAGCATTAGAATGGTATGCGTTAAATCGATCCTTTGGATTCAGTTTATTTGATTAGAAAAAAAAAATGGAAAAACAAAAAGAAAAGAAAAGAAAAGAGAAAGGGAAAGAGAGAAAGAGAGAGAGGGAGAGAGAGAGAATGAGAGAGAGAGAGAGAGAGAGAGAGAAAAGATTCGTTTGGTATCTCATGATAATACCGAGTGATCGAAAGTTTCTATGGATTGTTACGATGGTGATGGTGATGTTGATGGTGATGGTGGGGGCGGTAACGGTGGTTAGGGGAGGGAGAGGGGGTGGAAGGGGGATGGTGGTTGTCTCGAGAAAGACGTAGAAAGGAGTGATGCTGGTGTTGGTGATGGTGGTGATGATGGTAGTGGTGTTGGTGAAGAGGAAGGGCGGAGGGAGGGGGAGGGGTAAGAAGAAAGGAGAATACAAATAATATAAAATTAGAAGTAATGAGAAGGGATTACGTTCTCTTCTTCTTCTACTCGAACGCGAAGATAATAACGTAAGTATGAGGTCTGTTCGATGAAGCAACGTGCGCTGCATCTCCTTCTATCCTTCTCTCTCTCTCTCTCTCTCTCTCTCTCTCTCTCTCTCTTCTCTCTTTTTCTCTCTTTCTCTCTCTCTAGCTCTCTATCTTTCTCTCTATCTCTCTTTTTCTTTACTTTCGCGATCGAAGATCGTAGAGGACTATCATTACAACTACCTGCCGTGTTTGAGAATTTTTCGTTTGTTTTACGATATACTCTTTACAAAGTCGATTGTTATTGCCATTTTAAATATCCTCTCTTCCATCTTGCGAAAGATTGTTCTGTTATTGTTTATCGTCTATTTATTTATTTTTTATTTATTTATTTATTTATTTATTTATTTATTTATTTATTTATTTATTTATTTATTTATTTATTTATTTATTTATTTATTTATTTATTCTCTTCTTTTTCTGTTTTTTTTTTTTTTTTTTTTTATTATTATCATGTTTTTTCTCTCTTTTTTCTTTCTTTCTTTATCTTTTATTCGTACGCTTTTATTATTCACAATGTCGCGTCTCATTCAATGCAAACAACTGCGTTTGTGTATACGTGATATTATTGGGAGCTGTCTAAAAAAAAAAAGAAAAAAAAAAAGAAGAGAGAGAAAAAGAAACAGGAAAGTATAATGTTCGCAAGTTTATATTAAATTCGAAAGTGATTTTGGATAATGCGCGGTAGAGCCTTTTTTTTTTCTTTTTTTTTTCGAAAAATTTGGTTCTTTTGTTTGTGAATTATTTTTTTGTTTTCTTTTTTTTTTTCTTCCTCTTCAAAAGACGAAGATCTTTACGTCGAAATAACTACGTTGACTATG